CGTCGCTATGATGTGTACTAGCAACGGATCCCAGGTACTTATCGTATCGATACCGAGGTTCTGTATGGCGTGGATACATTCCATGGACGTGTCGTAGAGGCGTCTGATCTCGTACGCTGATTGCTTGTGAGCGAAGGGTTGATTGAGGAAAATCTCAATCTATTTTGTAAATAACAGCTGGGGGTTGTTATATCTGTGTGTCAGCAATTCCCACGCTGTATTGTAGTTGTCTGCCGAGATGTTTAGATGCTGAATAAGTCGCTCAGCATCTCCTCGTAGTTTACCTTTCAGGTGCTGCATCTTCTGGGTTTTCGTGAGCAAGTTATTGTTGTGGATGCTTTCTACGTAGAGATCATAGAATGTAGGCCATTGTGTATACTTGCCTGTGAATGTAGGTATGTCGATATGTGGTGTCGACTGCTGAAGATGTAATGTAGACGCGAGCTTGAGATTCAAAGCCTTCTTGATGCTCTTGTACGAGTCTTCGTAAGCATAAAACTCATCGTCATACTGCGTATCTGAACCTTGGAGAATGTGATCGATTTGTAAATGCAAAGCGTCGATTGCAGCCCAGCGAGTTTGAATGTTACGCAATTCATCTTCACTTGTCGATGGAAAGCTCTGAAGTTGGTTCTTTGCAGAGATACCAATTCATCTGCCTGGCGACGATCTGTAGGCGAGACCGTTGTTGCATTTGACGTCGATGGCAGAGTGACTCTCGGCTGTAGTTTAGGTGGAGCCGTAGATGGAGTCGCCTCCGGTGTCGCTACGATCTTAGGCAGCGCTTCTGGTGCCGGAGAAACAGGTTCACGTGCAGGGGGGCAGGTCGATATTAAGATCGAATAACTTATGGTTGTTTACTTGGAACTCGGCCCACAGTTTATCAAGGGCATCGAGTCGCTCGTTCAAGTACTTACGAGTCTTGCGTGTTGCGGAATCCTTGCTGAAGTTTCTTTCTATCTTCTTGATCGCTTCAACAATCTCCTGTTGGCGCTGAAGTAGACTCTCCATTATGCTTGTTCACCGAAAAAAGGTACCCTCCAAGTTCACTGCTCACTGAGTCTTAGCACTGTTCACTGTGTCGAATGTCGACGACAACTGTCCACTTTGATAGCAGCTGTAGCAGATGTTTGTCCAGCGGTCCAGGCCATTCTATATCTTCGCGAACCTAGTACGACCTTTTTTGCGCCTTCTCAATTGAACTGGTGGGACCCGCTTCTGGGAAGCCAGTCAACCGATTCGCAGTCGCACAAAATCCACAAAGAAAATAAAGTGACGTAAGCGTAGGAACCACTGTACCTGTATTTTCCAAATGTCGATGGAAATCCACAGATGTGATCTTGTCTTTTCTTGAAGGACCAAAAACACTGTAAGGTGTATACAGTATATAAGATGAATGAGTGCAGATGGGATGCAAGGGAAAGTTAGGGTACGAAACAAACCCAATGAAAGTCGATCCAACACTGAATTTATTTTAAAGAATTATAAATTGATGTATAGGCAAAAGTACGGAAGTTACATGATTTCGCAAGTGACAAATGCATTGTTTCTGCGTGACCTAAATAAACGAGTCATTGAATTAAAATTACATAAAATATGTGCGGTAACCCGTACATTGGGTGATAATGTTACGGATATTATATTTTTATCCAAAACAGAAATAGACACAAATTTTGTTATTTCATCATAGCGAAATTTCAAGTTCTCTCCGATACCATTTAACACTCTTAAAAATTGCTCAACGTTATCACAGTTGGTAGCTGGAATATGTTTTTTGTAGTACACGGGTCATTATCAGGCGACTCATTATTTGGTTGATTTCGGTGGCATTTTTTGTTTTAAAATTTAGGCCTTACTAACATGAAATATCTATTCTAGAGTTAATTTAATATATAGTACCCGGATGACCGAGCTTTGCTCGGTTTTTTTAAGTTAATAATTTTTAATCTTATTGACATAATAGAAAAAACTGAACTGGTTATTTGAATAAAAAATCGTGAGTGCAATTAGATTAATTAAAATTTTCGTATTTTTAAAAAATACTAAAAAAGGGCTCTAAATAATAGATTTCTCACAAAAGAAAGGAACTTGAAAAAAAAAGGAAAAAAGTCGGACTCAAGACGGGACGCGAACCACGGAACTCCGATATCACGCCCGAACAACATCCCATCTGAGCTATTACGATCGTTAGTGATCTGTCAAAATTTACCTTCTTATATTGTAGCAGTTTTTTTATTGCCTGAAAACACGGACAAAGGGACATTTTCTAAAAATAAATCCTAGCTAGATCGATTTATTGCCCCCGAAACTCTCTGTACACAAAATTTTATGAAAATCGTTGGAGCCGTTTCCGAGATTCCGATTATATATATATATATATAGCAATTCTTGTATATATATATATATATATATATATATATATATATATATATATATATATATATAGCAATTCTTGTATATATATATATATATATACAAGAATTGCTCGTTTAAAGGTATAGGATAAGTAGAAGAGGGAATCGTATAGACCGAATGGTTAAGAAGGTACTTAATTTTAAAAAAAATGGTGTCCACCGAAATCAATATTTTAATCACCGAAATCAAATAAATATAAAATAATTTATATTTCAAAGATAATTTTCTTAAGGTAAATTTACTGCCTACTTGATAACTACTATGAACTTATGATCTGTAAAGAATTGCAGGTTAATTCGACAACAAAAAATGTATGTTATCAAGACTTATATGTAACCATTTTTATTAATTTTTGTGAAAACTTACAAAAATCAATTTTAATTCAATTCACAATTTCTAATCAAACTTACAAAATTATTATATTAAATGTCATTAAAGATAGTAGTCTTAAACTAACATTATAGGAACTTAAAAAAATCAGCATTCTTGGTCGAGATCTAGCTTAATCACAGTCAATTTACTTATTGAAAAAAATTACTACAAAATCACTTAAAAATCAATCCTTTAAACAACATCAACAATTGTAGAAGGCACTTACATAACTAATAGTATTTGTATTTTTAATAAAAATATTATTTTTTCTTTTGATTTTAAGACAATTAAATAAGCTTTAGGTATAATAATCAGCCAGCATTAAATTAACAATGTAATAAACTTCTTATAAAACTTTGTATTACAGTTTTCAATCCTTAATTAAAAATGTTATATTCCTCGTCACTACTTTCTTTACAATTTACAATTTTGGAGACTACTTCATTCATTAATGTCGGAGCAATATTTTCACAATTTGTCGAAACACGTATCCAGAAGCTGTCACTTTCATGTAATCCAATGTCTGAAGGTAAGGTATGGGACAGGCGCTGTTTTGGTTTCATAGAACTCATCAGCAAGATCAACAGAAGAGCTACAACCAGGTTGAATTAGAATATTCGATAAAATTTGAGGCTTATTAGATTCAGTTGCACTGACTCCACTCCCTTTTTTGGCTTGACTTGACTTTTTAATCAGATTGATCTTGTCACTCTTGTTCCTGTTCGTTCTATCAGTCAACAGTCTATCAGCTTGCTCGCCTATGATGTATAATCCTACATGATACCCATGTTCACATGACACAGAATTATTTTTACATTCACCTTCGGCGTTGGGCTTATTAGCGTTCCATACTGCAGATGTACTTTCATAGTCCCTGCAAATTGCTTGAGATTGGATGGAATTAGCAATTCTTTTTCATAAATACCGGAATCGTCAATAGTTTTCGTTATAATACCTTGAACAGATTTCAGATGAGTCATCAATGATGATAAGCTTGTGATATCATTGCCTTGAGCAACTATTCGATCAGCTGTTCTTTTAAGTGTTGCACCGACACCATCTGGGGCTCCTTTTCCATGGCCACTTTCTGTATAATTCCATGTAATACTAGTCAAACTGGGAAAGTACCAATGGAGTTTACTGATGATATAAAACATTTTACGGTTTCGGTACTGAGCCGACGGACTATCAGAAATGAAATGTAGTATACGAATATTGAGATTTTCATCTTCTACGAATTTTAAAATCGGAAGTAAATGTTCCCAAATGGCTGGTGCATCATGGCGTAAAGACTCTGATAATGCACACATCGACTGAACTTTCAGAAGTCCATTTTTACGATAGTAAATGACCACGGTGTGCAGGGTTATTTGTTGTCGGTTACCCCCGAAATGAACGGCTTGAATTTCATTACCGTATTTTGTGCTGTAATTTTCACTAAAGTCGCAGTGAATTATACACTCTTCCTCAGTGCGGTCGCTTTTCATTTTTTTAATAAACTTGTTTTTGCGATAACTCCACAGTGAGTCATGTATGAAGGTAACATTTTTTCAAATTTTAAAATGGTGTCCCTGGGGAAAGTAGTCACTTTATCTTTCGTTGTGTGAATGGTTGTTTTTGTAACTCCATTCTTGTTAATAAGTTTTTTTTTTACTTTTTTGCCAAATCCAGTAAAACAATACTTCAGTGTTATTGAATTCATTATAGATTAAACTTTTATCTTTGCAGTCATCGCATTTTCTAGTTAAACATGACACATTCGAAGAGTCACAGCACAGTGATGACAAAATATCTTTGGTATATTTTTCTTGAATTAAGTTGTTTTTCTTTAAAGCAGTCACCATCAAGACCATATTTTCATGTTCGATACAAAGACAGGTTTCTCGTTTATTTACATTAGGTTTCAGTATCCAAAACGGTCGTTTTTTGCAAAAACTATAGTAACTAATTTTATTTTGGGGATTTGTTTGCTTAAACTTAGTATATAAGTCTTTTAAAGAATCATTTAAATAGCGTCTTTGTTGTTTATTCTTTTTTTGAGTAATGAACTCTTTCTTCCCAGAACACGTACGACTGTTTTCATCTTCTTCAAGAAAAGTTTTGATGTCCTCTTCCAAATTATTTTTAATTGTTTTTATAGAGTCTGATTCACTTTGTTTAATATCTTCAGTATTATTTTTACTTATATGTTCATATTCTCTTAATTTAGCACTTTAGTATTTTAATCTATATATCTGTTTTCGCTGTCGTTCGTTGACAGTCTTCAATTGATCAATCTTCTCTTTCTGTAACTGATAAATTTTATTCATGCGGTATTTAAGTCTACGTATGATAACTTTGGTATTCAGTTTCTTGTTAGCTTTTGGAGTTGAAGGAAACTCCTTTTCAATCACACGAACTGATGAACTTGTACATGGCTTTGAAATTTTACTTACGTCACTAGATGGACTCAATGGTGCTGACGAGCCTCGATAAGCCTTAATACGCTGAGGTAAAGGAAATGAAACGACGGATGAACTTGATGGTAGCAAATCAACATAGGAACTTGCTTCAGTTTGAAGCAATTCTGATCGTATTGTTTGTGATTGTGAAGTCACCAAAGGATCGTCAGTTTTGTCGGTTACTTCTGGTACGATTATTAAATCCTCTTCAAGACACCTCATCTCTGTACGCCTTCTTTTCAAATTTTGTTTGTTGGAAGATATTCTACTTCTCTCTCTAAAAATTCGTTGTTGACGAGGATCTAATTCACTTACAGACTTTATCTTTCCTTCATTCTTCCTTTTATAATACCGTTGTCTATCTTTCTCTTTGTGCACTGCGTAAAGCTCTGGATCACTCTTAATGCGAGCTTTCCGACGTCGTTCAGACAATCTCTTTTTTAGCCAACCGATCTTCTTTTGAATCTGACATAATCTCAATACTGAAACAAGATAAGGGGTGGTAAGAAAGTTAAATTTACGATCATAAAATGTAAATAAATAACGATTGATTGATTTCGGTGATTTCAAAATTAATTTCGGTGCACCTATTTCCACCGAAAACACCGAAATCAATGCCACTGAAATCAAAATAATTAACGAAATCCTAAATGTTTTCAAAAATAAACTGATTTTTTATATTAACCTCTTTATTTGAAATCTAATACATAAAATACATAATTTTATTATAATTATAAATATTAATTCAAATAGTTGTGGATAAAATGGATTCACCGAAATCAATTTTAGGGGTATACCAAGCCACCGAAAACGATTACGTACCTCAATAAAAGAGTGACGCGGTAACGCACAGACGCGTTGATCTTACCACCAATGCGGCGCGACTGACAGTTTGTATTACTCGAAAAACTATTCTCAAAGTCACTAGAGTATGGGATATATGAACGGATTGGTGCGCGCCACTGATATCAAACCTAAACGTTGGACGTGAAGACAACCAGATGTAACTTGACTATTAAGGCCTATTGTGCTTTAGTAATATTATAAATGGAATTAATAACTATCTAGTTGTTTGTGAACACGTGTCAAATAGTGCCGAATATTGGAGAAAAAAAGATAAAAAATAATTGCCGCCGCAATATGGGGCCGGACGCGGCATCGAGGTCAATATTTTCGAGGTTTTTAATTTTTTTTAACTAACTTATATTTAATTTATTCAAAAAAAGAACATATGCCCCTCCTAATATTTTGATCGTACCTGTTATAGAAAAAAGTATCAAGTTGTTAGTAATCCATTTCGTACTGGATTTCGACCCGGACACGCCTTTTTGAGCCGTCTGAGAATGACCGACACTATGGATGGTTTATCTTCATTAGGCATTAACATAGATTTTGTAATGTATATAACATTTTCATGATCTTGAACAGTAAACATGGTACATATACTTGAAACCATCATTATATTGAGAATAAGTTCGCATATCACTTAAATCAGCTTACCACAGTTCATTAATATTTGATAGAATGTACCTATTACGCGGGAATTTTTTTCGAATGGGTTTATGTAATGTGTATGTTACTTGTGATTTTAACCATTCCTTTACTTGCTTTTTATTCATTTTACCCTTCATGGCTTTTGATAATTTATCAATACTACCAAAACTAGCGGGATTACATGCATCATAATAAATCCTGTTAATTTCTTCTAGTACGGGGTCCATTTTTCCCACTCGGGCCTTTTACGTATCTTAGTTGTAGACTTTGTATCTCCTCTACTCGGTGTAAAAAACTCTTAAACTTCAATCTCAGAGGGTTTGTTCAGATCTTTTGCTTGAAGTTGGTTAATAAACTCACATCTCTTTGGATTTCCAATATAAGTAAGTGGTACTTTAATATCTTTAAATGCTTCAGCAAATCTATCCCACCCTACTGGATCACTTCTTTTTAAGGGTCTTAGTGAATCATTAATTAAATCATCAATATTACTTCCAGGAATTTTTTCATTATCAATTATGACTGTACCTTCATTATCCCAATGTATTTTACTTTTACTTGTTTCAACTAAGTTTAATAATAACTGTCCTTTTTTATTATAAGTTTTTGGTATTAAACTGAGTATTTGAGCTGGTGTGTAAAGTGAATTTTCATCATTTTCTTTACTTTTAATGGATCGATTCTCATCCAACAAAGATTCAGCATCAACTGAAGTTTTTAAATCTCTATCTTTATTTTTAAAACCAATTTTAGACTTATTTGAATCTTCATTAGATGTATCAGAATAAAATGGTAATCTGAGTGGTTGACGATCCTCTTCGATAAAATGAAGGTATCTTTTCAGTGTTTGTAAATATAACATCCATTTCTTTCGGTCTTCCGTCTTACTATTCATAATATTTTGCATTTCAATATCTAATCGAGATAAATTACTATTAACCTTATTTTCTTTTTTTAATTTTTCAATCAATCCAGGTTCGATAAGTATCATTTTCTTTGCATTTTCCATCTTAACTGGCTAGTCCACTCACTAATATACCTAACCCACTCAATATTGCACCTAATATTATTGGTAAGAAAGCCCCTCCTTTTTGTATAATTATATTTTTTCTTAGTTTATGTTTACACTTACGCACTAGTTTACGGAGTATATTTTTGTGTTTATTCAATTTTTGTTTATCTTGATCTTTAAGAGGTACTTTTCCTTGTAAAACGTTATGAATACACTCACAAATACAGTTAATTTCCTCTTCATTACACGTTTTAAGTAATGCTCTTTGATATTTTGGTTTAAGAGCGGCCAACCCGTCTTACTTTTCATACAAACGCTCGTACGTGATTATGGCATTGTAATAGATCTTTCTTTGAAATTTTTGAACTAATAGGTATCTTGTGCACTATAGCTAGGTTTCTATCAAAACAAAGAATCAAAACTTGGAGAAACAAATTCAGTATAAGCCTCCAAAAATCTGCTTTTTTGCACATAATTATCTGAATTTTGGCCGTTCATAATGTACTCATAAATAGTAAAACCAATGAAAATATTTAGAAAGCTCGCAAATGTAATCGAGTTTCTAAATGACAAACATTTATTTCACAAACTTGTAAGGCTTACTGAAAAACACGTATTTCCTGGAACAAGTTTTATGAAATTTCCACACACTATTTTTTCGTACAATGTTATCGCGTTCTCACTTGCTTGTTAGTCAAGTGGCGGTGAGGTATGCGGGGGACGAGTCGTGCGGGGTTGGGGCGGGGTGAGACGGGGGAGTTGAATGACGCTCGGCTTCCTATATATACTTATTATACTCTTTGCGCTCGGCTCTCGGGCCTCTCGGAGAATTGTTGGCAGGTATAGATTTTGTTGACTGCGCGTACGCGGATGTGCTGTTGTATTTTAATTTTAGTGAATTCTGTTTTACCTACTACGACGGTCTTGTTTTTTTTTATATCGGACACTGCTTTGGCTTGCGAAAGGTTTAGTGTTGTGAACAACAGAAATTATTGACTCACGTTTCCCACGCAAACTGCCAATGAGAGATAGACTCGATGATTGACTGTATTAGATGATAATAATTAATTTTTTTCTAAATTTTCAATCACTTCTGACAGTTTAAAAACTTTTTGTGTTCGGAAAAAAAGAATCTTCTCGACAACTGGGTTGTTTCATTTATTGTTTATAAAATGTGACAAAGTTTTTTAGAATAAAAATTGATATTTACCCAACTGTATTTAGACTACTTTATTTGATCACACACAAACACACATTTGTAGTCATTTACATACGGTACGTACATGTTAAATAATTAGGTACGTTACCTAATTTACGCATCCTCTAATACAATACTAATATAGACGAACTGGATAGATAAAGAATTTATTCTGCTCCTGCTACTAGTCCTAAGCAAAATAAATCATTTACGTTTACTTTTTCGTGCTGTATTTATGTATATGATGGACGAACAAAAAAGTCGAACGGAACTCCTTGCTAAAACAAAACTGAGTCTGGTCTATGTGTGGGTATTACGTATATATACGTTTGCGCGTGTAATGTCTGACTAATGTTTGAATGTGTCCGGGCTTGTACGCACGACGACCATTTTAAAAAACCAGTTTATACGGATCTCTCATTGTACGGGAAATTGATACAAAGCAAGACCATTGTAACTGGAAAATTCTAGCTTTATGTGTTTACAGTTTTTTACTAGCGAAAATCTGTGTGACTTTCTTTGTTCGTCCATGAGGTACTTGTATATATGAAATAAGAAAAAGCTAATGTATGTTATAAATAATTTCCATTTCGTCAACAATAACGCACACACGGTACATAGATTGGTAAAAATACAACACAAATAAATCTCCGAGGCCAAGCGTTGCGTCCGTACTAGACAAAGCATGTGATATAATAAAGTAGTACGGTACTAAATGTAAAACTATGGCTATGCGCACGCGAGGACATATTTGCGAGACGCGCGCGTGCGATTCCATACGCCGCGAGTGAGCGGCAAAAGTTACCGAATGTTAACCGAGCGCTCAGGCGCTATCTCTCTCTTTTCGCTTTGCCTCTTTTTCTAACATTGCGCTGGATGAAACAACAAGCTTTTCAACCATACTCGCGTTGACGATAGACGGGCCGGGAAGGGCCCTCTTAAACGTATGCAAAGCGTTTAGCAAATGTTTATACGTTGTGAGTCGACGATGCATCATTCAGCAATGATTTGAATTGTTTCATTCTTGGTGTATTTATACTCTTTTGTGGGGACGTAGACTGTACAGAAACCATTAAATGGGAAGACATTTGTCTTGATACGACAAAAATCATTGGTAATCTGTTTTAAATCTACCATTAAATATCCATGTGCCTCTAGAGTTGCATCCCTGTAGGCATCTTCAATGAATTTTGGGTTATCTGGTGACACTTGTCGTGCTAAATATCTTATTTATTATAATCTTATTTGAGTCTCGAGGGTTTTTAAAATATATTATTACTTGAGTTTAAGGATATGTCTCTTTGCCCTTTAAAATACACTGAGATTCCTGTGATTCCTGTGATGACTACCTTTTGTAAATATATCCACAATTCTTCCATCGGACTCTCTCATTAGATCATCAATGATAACGAGATGTGGGTTTTCACCATCAAACATATTAAGATTTTGAATTCCTTGATGATAGTTAACATTTGGTAAATTATATAAAGGTTGCATTTCATCAAAGCACCATGTGAT